TGGATCCAATGGGTTTTCAGAGGCAATTAATCACACGGCAGAAGACTGTCCATCTTTCTCCCTTGAGCAGCTGGCAGGTTCAAACCACGTGCCTTTCGAATTGCAGCTCAGTGTCTTACCACTAGGCTACCAGAATATTCATAGCACAATTTAAGATGTGAATTAGTTAAAAACTGCAGGAATGGTTGCGTTTTGTCTCAAGTATCCTCTGCTTTCTTTTTAAGACATCTTGGTGGTACGACAGTGGGACAGGCTCAGGAAAGGGCAGTGTGCAGAGCTATTGCACACAGGCAACTCAACAGCGAATAACATTTCCATCTCAGAGACTCCTCCAGCCCTCGTGTTGGAGAAAACTGAGGTGGTTCCTTCCTGTAAAGATTTACAGCTCAGACTGCCCTGGGCTGTGCCATCCTTATCAGTTCGATACATTTGAGCCCATTGCTGCAGTCACTGTGTCAATCTGTCTTGTTGAGGGTCTTCTTTTTTGGTGACCCACCGCCTTTCCAAGCATGATGTCTGTTTCCACAGAATAGTCTCTCATAGGTTTTGTAAATTTCCCATTCTGTTTTAACTCTCCTCAGCATTTTAAAAATTATTTGTTGTGTAAGATTGAAAAATCTTTAATAAAATAATCCATTAGAATTTCTTGTACAATTTTTCATCTAATTAATAATTCCATCACTTCAGTATAAGTTAATGCAAACGAATTTACAACAATAGCTACTCTTAAGCACTGAATTTCAGGAGTTTTTTAAATGGATGCTCTGAATTACTTCAAGGAGCTTTCAGGAATTATGGCTAAAATGACTAACAGTTTGCACTTGGAATTCTCTAGCCTGCTCCTTGGGAGGAAGGTGTGTTGCTGTGCTGTTGTTAGGTGCTGTGAAGCCCACTGTGACCTCCACTCTTTGAATATTCGATCTAAGCCTTGCCCTATCCTGCAGCAGCCCCAACATGACAGCCAGTGTGTCAATGCAGCTCGTTGAAGAGCTGCTTCTCTTTTTCTCTGACCCTTCATCTTTCCCCAAAGCTCTGGTAGCCTAGAGCTAAGGCTGAGATGCTAACCCAAAGGCATATGGTTCAAATCCACCAGCTACCTCTTCGTATTTTCAAAGGCCTGCTTAGGCTCTAGGAATTAATGGCATACTGATTGACATATTTCAAAAAACAGATGCTGCCCTGGATGCACTCACCAAGTTGTGCCAAGAAATCTGGAGGATAACCACATGGCCAACTGACTGGAAGAGATCTATTATTTGTTCCCATTCCAAAGAAAGATGATCTAACAGAGTATGGAAATTATTGAACAGTATCATTGGTATCACATGCAAGCAAGATTCTGCTGAAAATTATCCAAAAACAACTGGAACAGCAGATCAACAGAGAACTCCCAGAAGTGCAGGCTGGGTTTAGAAGAGGCCATGGTACTAGTGATATTATAGTGAATGTCAGATGGATCTTGACTGAAAGCGGAGAGTATCAGAGGAATGTCTATGATTCATTGACTATGCAAAGGCATTTGACTATGTGGATCACAAAAAACTGCAGCTGACTCTGTGAAGAATGGGAAACCAGAACATTTGATAGTGCTTATGTGAAACCTATACTTGGACCAGGAGGCAGCTGTCAGAACAGAGCAAGGAAACACTGGATGGTTCAAAATTGGGAAGGGTGTGCGTCAAGGATGTGTCTTATCTCCCTATCTTTTCAATCTATATGCGGAACAGATTATCCAGGAGGGAGGTGGACTCTATGAGAGAAGTGTGGCATCAGGATTGGAGGTAGGCTCATCAACAATCTGCGCTATGGAGATGACACAACCCTGCTTGCTGAAACTGAGGAGAACCTGAAGCACTGGCTGCAGAGGGTCAAGGACTGCAGCCTCCAATATGGATTGGAGCTCAACATCAGGAAAACAAAGATTCTCACCACTGGGCCAATCGACAGCATCACGAGAGATGGTGAAGAGATTGAGATCGTTAATAGCTTCAGTTTGCTTGGCCCTACAATCCACACTCTTGGTAACAGCAGCTGGAAATAAAAAGATAAATTTCATTGGGAAAGTTTGCTGTCAGCAACCTCTCCAAAGTTCTAAAGAGCAACGATGTCAGTGTGGAGACTGAGGTGTGCCTGATCCAAGCCATGGTCTTTGCAATTACTTGCTATGCATGAGAGATCTGGACAATGACTAGGGATGATAGGAGGAGAGTTGATGCCTTTGAGCTGTGGTGCTGGGTAAGAGTATTGTGTATACCACGGACTGCTAGGAGAACAAACAAGTTTATCCTGGAGAGGGTGAAGCCAGGCTGTTCCTTGGAGACAAGGATTCTGAAGCTCCATCTGACATACTTTGGACATGCTGCAAGGCGGGACCAGTCCTTGGAGAGGGACATCATGCTTGGGAATTGGGAGGGACAGCACAGGAAAGGAAAACTCTTGATGAGATGGATTGAGTCAGTCACTAGGGTAATGGGGGTAGGTGTGTCAGAGACAGTAAGGTTGACACAGGATAGAGCAGGTTTTAGGGCTGTTCTACACAGGTCGCTATGAATTGCAGGTGTCTTGAAGACACATAACACAATCAACAATAACTTTTTAGGAAAAAGATGGGAAATGTCCTCCCTTCCAATCTGCAATTTATGAAAACTTGCTGGAAGATCAGCTATTAGTTGGTTCCAACTCAACAGCACATACCAACAACCACCAGTTGATGTCTTTTCCCAAGGACTGACTTCTCCTGACAACATGGTCAAAGTATGTGAGTTTCTCCATCCTTGCTGGTAAGGAGCACACTGAAAAGACGACAGCCGAGGAAACTCCGTGGGGCACTTCTGCTCTGCCCTGTAGGGCCCTACGTCAACCATGATGCCATGAAACAACAGATGTGAGCCTTGCCCTATTCTGCACCATCCTCATATCGCTGCCATGCCCAGGGGCACTTGCTGTTACTGCGTCAATCCACCTCATTCTTCCTCTCTTGTGCTGAACACCCTCCTCGGCATGATTTCTTTTTCCAAGGTCTGGAGCAGAATCAACCTGAAGGGAGTAGATTTTGCTCTACTTTATGCTTTCACAGGGTTCCAATGTCCTAGGAGTTGATCTGATTTGGGAGTTAATCTGACTAGCACTTTTAGACTATACGTGACTAGTAACCAATTGGATTATGATGGATATATATATTTTTTTCTACTGGAGATGGCAATTAAAATGATTTGCGTACACATTCTAGATAGATGATATTTCTGCTGGCTCCTTGTGTGTCTTTACTGTAAATGACATACCTCATGATGGGTGTGGGGGAAAATTACATCTTTCATTTTAGAGGCAGAAAAGAGCAGCCGTGCCTATCAAGTTTAAACCCAAGGTCAGCAGTAAGATTAATGTGTACATTTTCACTTCATTATTAAGAATATTTTTTCTTTGTGTATGTGCGCAGAGAGAAGCAATTTATGTGTATCATAAATTGAGCCTGGCAGTGAGGCTTACCCATATTTTTACTATAATTTCAAATATCCTTTGAAATATTGCATGTCTATGTAAACAGCAACAAACCCTTAAAAATTCCCTAAAGAACCAGCAAACCCATTGTGGACGGCCAGTTCCATCACAGCAGTCTCACAGGACTGCCAAGGGTGCTGACTGTATGGAGATCCACTCCTGCTGGCTTATGTACTTGAACATGCCACCTCTTGGTCAGCAGCGCAGCCAGCTCTTTAACCACTGTGCCGCTAGAATTTACGAAAGAGAAAGCATTAGCACTTGGCATTCTAACTGGCGATTGTGTGCCCCCGAGGCAGAACTGACTTGCAACTGGTGGATTGAAACCTCATAATCTGGGGATTACAGTACAGCTTCTTACCATTGGGCCACCAAATGTCCTCTATCTGAGGAATGCTGGCATTGTTACGTGCTATCGAGTCATTTGAGGCTCATGTTGACCCTGTGTACAACAGCCCTAAACCCTGCTCTGTCCTGTGCCACCCTCACTGTCTCTGCACACCTACCCGCTTTATCCCCGTCACTGAATTGATCCATCTCATCGAGGGTCTTCCCCTCCTGTCCTGTCCCTCCACCCTCCCAAGCATGAGGGCCCTCTCCAAGGACTGTTCCCTCCTTGCAACATGCCCAAGTATGTCAGACAAACCTTCAAAATCCTTGCCTCCAAGAAGTAGCCCGATTTCATTGAAAGTTGCAGATTTTTAAAAAGCAGTAGGGTCCCTGCCCCACCCCATAGGGTCACCAGTGTATCTTTGGGGCTGGAAGGCAGGTTCGGAGCTGTCCAGAGGTGAGGGTGGTAGCCCAAGGTTTAGAGGCACCCATCAACTCAGCTGGCCTTGTTCTTCCTGTCTGCGGGGTCCACCTTGCGCTGGGTCTTCATTCCTCTTCCCGAGGCCGGGGGAGAGGCAGTGACAATGGTGAAATGGCTTCTGCAGGAGGGCACAGGGGACACACACGCAGGAGCACACACACACACTCATGAGTGCATACGTGTATACATGCACACACACCAGATATACGCATACACACCAAACGCACACTCACATGCACACACGTGCTTGCGCACACCACACGTGCATAAACACACTTAAGCACCACACACACGCGCGCACGCACACTCATATACACACATGCATCGGTGAACACTCACTACACCACATGCGCGTGCACAGACACCACACACACTCGGATGCATACATATACTTATGCACCACACAACAGACACATGCACAGACAGCGTGCGCACATGAGCCTGTGCACACACCACGCAAGCACACACACTACACACGTATGCATGCACACACCAGTGCACACAGTCACACACAGGCATGCATGCATTCGTGCACGCCCACATACGCATGCACACACGGCGCCCTCCCGGCCCTGAGAAGCCACCTCCAGGGAAAAACTGTGCACCTGCTCACCTGTGGGCGTGCTCAGGGCTGGGGTGCGGAGAGAAGGGGCAGGCCAGGCAGAAACGGGGTGTCTGGGGGAGACAGCGGATGGCTGCACTGAGGGATGTCAGGAGGGTGGGCCCAAGAAGGGCCCAGCAGGAGGAGGTGCCTGAGGGGAGACAGTGGGTGGGCCAAGAGGAGGGTTCCCTGATGAGGGCTGCACCGAAGGGTGGCAGCGAGTTGAGAGGACAGGCGTACATTGGGGCCGGCGAGGGACGTGGGTGTTGGGTGGGCGCAGAGGACAGCGGGCGGGGCCGGCTTGGGAAGCGGTGTCCGCCAGGTGGGTGCAGGGAGGACAGCGGGCGGGGAGGACGAGGGACGCGGGGGTCCGTGGGCACCGAGGACAGGGGCGGGGAGGAGGG